TCCGCAATGTTGGAAGACCGTCAACTGAAACTACCTCTCCTCAACATTCGGAAGTCTACAGCATTCGTTGCCTACAAGATCGATGCACTTCCGCAAATATGGAACAGCCCTCGGTTCCTGAGAAGGTTTACATGAAGGGCCGTAACCTTGCCTGATGCCTTCTCTTAGAGTGAGTACCTAATTGACATAGCGCAAGTGTACGGTAGGTTTCCTTCGAGTTCGTTGACAAGGAATACAACGTTTTCTACGCTGAAGCCAAAGCCGTCGCTTGACCCAGGGGATAGGAAATTATTTGATCGAGGTGGAAGGGGAATTAGGAGAGTCGGGCCTGTGATACTCCCATATGTTGGCAACGCCAACATACGAGTTATAGAAGCCTTCATCCAAGCTTCCGCACAAGAAACGACCCTCTCTGGAAAATCTCTCAGAAACTCAAGTTTCCGTCACAAGTTGCAAGCAGTCGCAGCAATTATGCTATGGACCCGGGCTTCGCTACCGCCCTAACCTGGTTGTGCGCCGCATCTGGTGGTCCCGGGTCTCTGCATTGTATGGGATTACACCACTAGGAATTCTCGCGAGAACCAACAGTCGATGGCTCCAGCTTTCGTTCTGAAATCAATGAGAGATTTGAGAGTGAGGCGTCATTGGAAGAGCTTTGGTCTTCATTCATTCCCTACTATAGCAAGCAACGGGAACGGGCAAGATGTTTTGGGAGTCCAATACCTGTCTAGGCTTGTTACCTCGGTCAACTTCTAATATCAGCGTATCGATGGAATTGTGGGATTTACGAAATTATTACTGGCATTTTGTGACAGTGAAGAACTGGAGGTTTGCCTGCATTTCTAGGTGAAGGTTGGCGTTCTCTTATGCTCGCTGGTTTGCCTTAACCAACCTAGAATGCTGACATTCTGACGAACCGTTTATGAAAAGGGGCAATGAAAAAGCCATCACGAACATACGAGGAGCCCAAAATATTTTTACTTGAGTCCGAGGCGCTTGATAATTCATGGTGTAAGATCCCCCCACGACTCCATGCACGATTGCCTGTGATGCCGATTACGCCATCGGAGACGACAATCATGACATCGACCTGGGCGTATAACTAGACCGCATGAGCCAATCCGGGACCAATCAGACATCCCAATTAGCCAGCATATTGCCCCTCGAGCATCACGACAGCCGACCCCGTCATGGCGAAGTCAAGCTATTGGATCCTTATCAAATCGGAGATTGCGTATCGCGGTGTGATCAGGGTCAACGGGGATTGCGGAAATACCTGCTGCTATGTTTCCAATTCACTTTTATGACCTCCCATAAATTTACTGTTCCCCTCGTTCTATCGTTGTAGCTGTAATTCATCTTGAATTGGTGTTGCTCATTCCTTTGTACTCGAGGAGCAACCCCCCTCACTCGCAACGATGTCTGAGCGACTCTCCACTATCCCGAAAGAGGTCGTGGTGAACGAATCCTCGCTTGATGTTTCAGCGTCTTCTCACGACGATGTCGAATCGGCGAAGAAACTCAAGGTGCCGTGGTGGTCGTACATCTGGGACTACGAGCCGGGTCGGTCCCACGAGGAGCGGGCATTTATCCAGAAGCTCGACGTCTTCTTGGTCTCCATGCTCTCATTTGGGTACTTCATTAAGAACTTAGACCAGACCAATATATCCAATGCCTTCGTCAGTGGGATGAAGGAAGATTTAAGGATGAACGGCAACGAGATCAACCTCGTCGACACCGCGTGGACTGTAGGCTACGTCGTGGGGCAGATTCCGTCCCAGATCGTACTGACCAAGGTCCGGCCCTCGGTCTGGGTACCGTCGTGCGAGCTGCTGTGGACACTCCTGACTTTCTGCCTCGCCGCGGCCAAGACGTCGGACCACGTCATCGCCATCCGCTTCTTCGTCGGGTTAACAGAATCGATCTTCTACCCTGCGGCTCACACCATCCTCGGGTCCTGGTACAAGCCGTCGGAGCTGGGGAAGCGCGCTTGCATCTTCCACGCTTCCTCGGCCGCGGCTAGCATGTTCTCGGGTTACCTCCAAGCCGGCGTGTACCGGGGGCTTAACGGCGTCAATGGGTTTGCCGGTTGGCAGTGGCTCTTTGTGAGTTCAGCGGTTTGCACTCAAGGTCGTTCGTTGGGCTGGCTAATGCTTCCGTATAGATCATGGATGGGATTATCAGTCTACCGATTTGTGTCGCGGGATTCTTCATATTGCCTGACCTCCCCGAGAACACAAGGGCGTTCTACTTGAATGAGAGCGTGAGTCATTCGTGTGAACACCCCGGTACCGCCCAAGACCTAAAATGAAATATATAGGACCGTGCCATGGCGAGGGATCGTATGGAGAAAGTCGGCCGTGCACCACGGGCGAGACTAGGACGTTCCGCGTTCAAACGCATATTTGGTCAGCCGCTGATATCGTCCTTAAATGTGGCAGGTAGAGTACTAATGAAAATGATAGGTCGATGGCACGTTTATCTTCTCTCGATCTTATATATAATCTTCATCAATGTCGGGCCGTCCGGGAGTATCAACCCTATGGCCCTCTGGCTCAAAGCAAAGGGTGAATCTGTCGAACGAATCGTGAGCACAGCCATCCCCTTTTACATATCGGATACCGTAAACTTACTTCCCTATTAGAATCTCATTCCTACAGCCGCGTCAGCAATCCAACTCGTCCTCACTGTCTCCTTCGCCATTGTCTCCGACGCAATCCGTCGTCGCGCTAGCATCATGTCCATCTCGACCTTCCTCGGGGGCTTCGCGGCTCTGCTACTAGCCATCTGGAACATCCCGGACGGCCTAAAATGGTTCGCCTTTCTACTGCAGCGTGCGTCGGTACCGTACGGCCCGCTCAGCATGAGCTGGGCAAACGAGATCTGCGGTGCGGACGCTGAGGAGCGCGCCATCGTCATCGGCATTATGAACTCCATGGGCTACGCGTTCAACGCCTGGGTGCCCCTGCTCACATACCCGCAGGTCGACTCGCCGACGTTCAAGAAGGGCTTTATCTTCTCGACTGCTGCCTTTGGCGCGCAGGCTGTTATCACGGCAACAGTGGCGTATATGCACAAGAGAGATAAGAAAAGGGGGGGACGTGGCGGAGAACATGTCCCAGGCATCGGAGACGAGGAAGGCGTTATTGTGAGCTCATCTTTAGATCGTCCGTAGGTAGTTTTAGTCCTCTCACTCGAGGTTCACATGTCGATTAATGGTAATTAGTATCACAAGCGAACGTAAGTTTCTCTTTTATAAACGTATTACTTTACTGCTACATGGTATGTCTTCATCTCTTCGTAACCTTTGTTCTCAACGTTAGCTATCGTACCGCGGTCAACCGGCGGTTTGAACGATATCCCGTATCCTACAAGGTTAGTCTCCTCTGAAATATGCGAGTCTCGGATCGCTATTGTCATGGCTATCGTACCGGGTGAACTTACCCAGGACCGAGGGCCCACGTGTGCCGTCGCCGACTAGTCAGTATAGATACCTAAGGTAACCTACCTAAGGTACATAATAAAAGAATATAATGAAACTCAGGAGGTAGGTACCCCCGGTGCTAGAATTAGCGTTGGACATCGCCATTCTGGGCGAACGCGGCAATCACATCATTCAATATCAGGAGCTCCTCATCATCCTCCACCAGGAGCTCCTCATCAGAGAGCTCCTCGATATTGAGCGCCACGAAATTGAACAACTCGTGGCGTTGTAGCTTCTCCATGGCGTTGTGGTCGTACAGGCTCTCGCGGATCTCGACGACCTGCTCGTGCTGCTCGTCGATGCCGGCATCGCCGAAGATGGGGAGATTGAGCGGCTCCCGCACCGAGGGGAAGGCCTGGGCCCGGCAGAACGGGCAGATGGGGTTGCGCTTGTTGATGTCCTTCAGCAGCCACTCGAACAGGCAGTTGTAGCCGAAGGCGTGCCCGCAGATGGGCAGCACGGCGAAGCTCTCGTGCGTCTCGCGCGACCGCTTGTTGAACTTGCCGTTCAGCAGCGCTAGGTCCTTCTCCCCGCAGATGCCGCACGGGATGCTGAGGCGCGTCGTGTCCGGGTTGGTGAGGTGCCCCTGCTCGTTGAAGTACTCGAGTACATGTCGGAAGTTGTTGCTTTCGACCGTGGTGACTGCGACTTGTTGGTCCGAATTGGAAGAAATTTGGGGGGGAGATTCTTGATCCATAATACCTACCTGTAATATCTGGACGAAATCTGAGGGTCAATGACAATGGCGAGAGTCGTGTTTCTAGGTTATGTTAGGATAACCGGGGATTATTTAAGGGAGCCAGGAACAATGGATTGGTTATCCAACAATCTCATACAATTTATACAATAGCTTTGAATGTCTACTTAGCTATGCGTTTTCTCACAAGTAAACAATGCATATTGATCAAAGACCCTAAGCTATAACGGCAAAGGGGGGCGGTGAAGCATCGTCCCGAGTGAGACTCTTATTACCCCTGAACATAGGGGTAATGGGTTAGTGAAAGAATGCAGCAAGTTCCAAGAATTCCCCCCTACTCTCAGTTCTGTCGACTTAGATGAAGATTCAACTTGTCGCAGGCTTCTGTTTGTCCACTCTAGGCTTAATTATTGTTCTATGAGACGTCGTGTTCGGGCTCGACAACCTGAGGTGCTGTTAGAGGGTTATATTAGTAGAACAGATATCAAATAATAAGGGCTCTGAATATATAGGCCAGAACGATTACCGTTGGCCTTCTTCTCAAGACATTGGCTGCCAATAATGATAAGTTAAGTGTGTACAAAGACGGGATGTTTCTTTGGAGGTTTAATTAAAGAGAACCTTTAGGGAGAGCCGCGCTCGGGTATCGTGCCATACTAATTTGCGTGTGGGGGTACTTCTTAGCTGCGTTAGGTTGAGGGCTAATGCTTAAACCCACAAGATTGAGAATTCTGCCAAATTGCTATATTAACCCTTATAGCTACCCAGCAAACATCGACCAATCAGACACAAGTTTGACACTGGTGTGTGGTTCTACAAGGCTTTGTGGTCTAGCGGTATGATTCTCGCTTAGGGTCAAACTCTAGGTCAAATATGCGAGAGGTCCCGGGTTCAATTCCCGGCAAAGCCCCTTCTTTTTCCTCCCCTTACTACTAAGGGGTAGTGCGCATTGAATTGCGCCAACTTTTTGCATTCAACGACGAGGTCATGTAGGACGACCTACAGGCCTTGTAATCCTTGAAAGTAAGTTGCCATTAAATATTTTGGTCTGCTTCGGTCGACATGGGCTATGCTATCTGTTAGACCAGCTCTTATAGTCAAACTTGAAACTAGTAACCATAAATCTATCTTTCGTTTGCTCATGACTTACCAATGTAGCATACTGGTTCTATAGATACAAGAAGTATATTAAATTTTATATAGGCAAGTGATTATCCAAACTCTAGTCTGACCAAGAACCCCTTAGTGACTGAGTCTGCCTGATACGCCTTCTGTATTGGGGTTGCCGCGAATAGAAAATATCGTTTATTACAGCCTCTATGGAGCCCTTATTGATTCAGCGGGGTCCTCGGGCTCTTCGGGGGTTCAGACGAGAGCTCATTGCCGACTTCTGTTCCGGCCAACTCCGGATACGCACCCAAGCCCGGCGAGTGCAGCTCGCTCCTCTTCGGCGGCTCCGTCTCCACCGGGCTAGCGTAGCTGTACCCGGTCATCTGAGGAGTCGTCTCGGCATATGTCGAGGGAGGGTGCTGCCACTGGTACTGATGTTGTTGCTGTTGCTGTAGCATCTGCTCTTGTTCACCCTTCGCCGCGGCGGTAGCTGCTTCAGCCTCCTTTACTTTCTGGTTCAGTAGCCTGTTGCGCCAGAGCATGAACCCGAGTGCTCCGAGAGATAAGGCGAGAATGACGGCTTCGACTACTAGTCCTGCAACCGCGCCGGAGGGGATGGCCGTCGATGCTGCGGCCGCTGTGGAATTGTCTGCAGAGGATGTCGTCGCTGAAGGAACCTCAGACGACGTATTGGTGGTGTCTGGTGAGCCTGATGAGGAGGGAGTGCTTGTCGCAAGGGGTATTGGCCCCACGTCAGACTTGAGCTGTGCGATGACGGTGCCAATGTTGTTCGTTAACTTAAAGGCGCTATCACAGCATTGCTTGGAGGTTAAGGTTGTGTCGCCTTCACAACACCAGAAGTTGCTATCGTTGCAGGGCTTCAAATGGGGGTTTGCGAAGTTGACTTTGCTTCCGTTAGCCCATGTGATCAATAGTAGGGGGTGATGTACTCACGTCCATGACAGTATTGAGGACAGTTTGGATCCTTGAATGTGGAATCTGTACACCCTGTCGACCATAGCAAGTGGCTCGGCTGTTTGGAGACGGTATTCAGACACAAGCCGGATGATAAGCACACGTCTGCGTTGTCTGAATTGCAGCATGCGCTATGCGAACCCGTTTCGCCGGTAGCACTACACCAGATAAAGTCAGCATACGAGATTCAATGAAGGCATCGGTTCGACATTATTGAGTCTCGAGAGCGATCTCTTAGATTCACGACCCTTAAATAACTCCAGGGAGGCATATCACTCTGATACAAATGAACGATCGTGGACTCTGGGACACGCGTACCTAGAATCGCATGCTGAATCTGATGGTCCAGTGAGGGAGCCGTCGAGGTGGTAACAAGTCACGGCTATCACTTGTAGGACCATAAAACCTCCAGCTATCAAGAGCAAGAGACTCTCCGTCAACGATACCTTCAACATTTCATATACAATCCCTGCCGGATGAAAACGAGCGAAAGGTTGTTTGTCTTCGGTTGGCCTCCGAGATGTGGATTAGACAAGACAAGCAAGAAGGAAGAGGTAACAACAGAGTCAAGAAACTGTCATGGGCGTGTTTTCGTATTTATTCAACCAGACAGCTCATTTGGAATCCGGGGTAAGCGGGAGGTGTCGAAGAGTATAAAGCTGATCATCGTCGCTGCTTGGTACCCATACCGGTTAGCCCAACACCGCATGAGCTGGTCAATCCGCACCCCTTGTCTGACGATGCATACTCCGCATTTCCAGAAAGTCCAGTTAGTCCTGTTTTGGATAAATGGTATTGTATGCTCCTGAGAAATGCAGGCTCAGCTGGGGCGTGAGATCGCGCCTTGGTGCCGAAAAGGGGAATTCCCTAGTCGGCGATCTATCGTGCTAAAACCCTCCCTTCGCGATAGCCGGCGGGACATCCGAGCGGCACCATTGGACTAAAACCCATGTATTATCCATATTCAAATTAAAATTTCCGGGCGTTTGGTACTGTAGAACGAGGGCGTGGGATTGACGTCTTTTCGCGGTCTGCCTCGTAGGGCTTATGACACCTCCTTGGCGCAAATGGAGGCGAGATGTCGGAAAAGGGTTTTTCTATCGCTGAATCCTTGTAACTGTTGACCTACCAATGGACCTGGACGTTACTCGCTATGGAGGGTCGTTTTCCCTCTAGTACCTATTTAACTAACTGGTTATCAGCAGCTTCAGTGGCTGTGATCAACCAGTGGAGTCTGATTTGGCGCGTTTAACTACCAGTAGAGGTAGTGCTAATAACATGAAGTACTTAGTACTAGGTATGCGGCTCTCGTGGCCCCATCTGTCATGGTTATTACATGAGCTGACATTGACTTAGATGACTTGCAGCTGGTGGGCTTGGGTTCCGATGGCGATCCTTATCGTTTTATGATTCCTTCTTAGGAATTCCCTGGTTCGGCACCTGTGACAGGAGCTAATTAATGTGAGGGAGCTAACAGTTAGGCTATTAGTATACGCATGTAAAGTCCTAGCTGATCGTGGCTATATATCTGCTGTCGGTGATGATACTTACCGGTACTTACCTAGGTATCTAGTGGTGGTGTTTGATACCGCGTGAGGTCAACAAGCCACAGACTTTGCATGACATGTAAGTATGCTACTCCATTGAAATAATTTGGCCTTAATACGGCTTGCGTCAACTAGGTAGCTGGTGAGGGCTCCCTCAGTCCGCAATACGATCAAGTTTCATCCCACCCCTGTCTAGATCCTGACTGTTATCGCTGCCTTCGCTAATAGAACGATAGCCACCAGGCTAGAGTAGCGTAACTGGGGTCGTATGGGGCGTAGAACTTCATCTAGATAGCGCATGACCAACGACCTGACGTGGCCGCGTGGGAATTGACTCTAGACATACGGATTACATACGTACATGTACGTCAGCTGTCAACTGAGAGGTGCCGGGCCGAACCTGATTTCGTGCCCGTGGCGGGAAGCATTCGGTCTAGGTAACTTAGCTGAAGATAGACTTTAGACTTAATATTAGTAACCTTTGTGGCCCTCTACCTTGTTTTGTCGAAAGAGCATGTTCACTCTACAACATAGGATCCTGACTGAGTCTTGTTAAACTCCCGTAACACTTTCATTCATCTACGGCAAACTTGAATGCCGCTGTTACAATAGTTCCTTTTAAGTCGCCTAGCTCACCTTAATAAATAGATCCAGGCGGTACTTAGATGGCCATCAACTCTATTCGCCGCCGCGTCCCTCGCACTGAGACTATTCTACTAGGTGCAATCACTTCGACGCTGTCGACTTCGCTAAAGCGCCATAGGAGCCAATATACCTAAAGCAAACAGAACTATGGCTCACCCCCTAGGTTCATATATGCTCCGAAGTCTATCTTCAAGATAAGTCTATTCTAATGCTATCCTAAGTCTCCTTATCGAGGCTCTACCCCATACTTCTCAGATGGTAGAGAGGCGTTAGGCGACCAACTTTGAGCTAGGCTTTCCTATCTCTATTATTGTTCAATAATACGCCTATGGATTTCGACTATTCGACTGTCTTCGTATAACGTAGTTATATAGCTGTTTTTCCAAGTATATATATGACTACAATCTATCCTAGAGTTGAATTTTTTTATTGCTGCAAACCTCGCATCTGCTATATCACCACCTGGAATATTGGCCAAAGCTGAACATCGCTCTCTCAGCACAAAGGAATCTGGACAGATGTTCCCTGACGATAATGATCACTTGGTTTGGGATAGTCGGGAGCCCAAGTTGGATTTGACTGGTATTCCACTCACACCTGGGCTCTCGGCTTTGGTATTACGGTACATACCTTCCTTGAAGTCGCTGGGCAAGCTTCCTGAAAATGTCAGTTTCGTTGCTCTAGATATTCAGTCTAAGCACAACGGTCCTTACGAATCGATTGAGATCGATCTAGCGTTTTTACCCGAACTCGACCCACAGGCTGGGACCGCCGAGGAAGAGCATACCGGGGAGTTTGCTGCGCGACACGAGGCCCCAATCTCTTCATTTAGCGGTTATCAGAGGTGTCATTATTACCTCCGCCGGAGACGACAGCACACCATTTTTGATGAGCCCGAACCTGGATCCAGCCGGCTTGTGGAGGTAGAGGCCAAACTAAATGGAGTCATCGAGGAATTTTGTCGTGAACTGCCAGACCGAAAGCTAGTGCTCGTCGGATGTTCTGTGCAAAAGGTCTTTGAGTATATGTCCCTAGACTTCCCAGGCATCGTCCGTCACTTCGATCACTGGCTAGACGTTTCGGGTCTGGCCAAGTCGGCCTTCAGGGCGCCACTGTGGGGTAGTGTAAAGCTGAGGGATATGGCCATCGCCACCGGCTTCTACGGCATTCGTCGAGAATACCGTGATTATGCGGTATACGGCGCGATTGGAATGCTCCTCGTGGTACAAGGACTGATGCATCCGGAGAATGCGGACGCGGATGTGCTCACGCGGGAGCGGGAACGGAAACCGTGGGACATGGCCCCAGTTGAACGCGAATTTCCACGACACCACACCACGCCCAGAAAATGGGTGTTGCTCCTACATCCTTGGAGAATCTTTAAAACTGACCGACATAATCAGGCGAAACTTGATGAGTCTTAACCGTCAAGTGTGGTTCAACCAGGCTCGCGCTGATCATGGCCCGCGAATGTGTCTGTTTCGAGGAGTTGCAGAAATATCGGGGGATTATTGCGACAGAGTGAGACGGGAAGAAAAGAATACGTAAAACAGGGTGCACCACCGCCTCAGACAGATTTGAAGATGAATGATTATTGAATATTCCAGGCTGGATCAACGTCTAATAAATCTTT